ATAAAAATAATTCACAAATTTATTATTTTGGTAAAAAAACTTTAAAATATTAAAATAAAAACCTTAAAGCTTGCAATTTTCACTTTCAATTTGTGATTTTTGTAGCCGCAACCGGCAAGCGTTTTTTAAATAGAAATTTGTGCGCCAAATAATTTAATTTAAATAAATATATGTGACAGATAGACTGTGCGATTAAAGGCACACACAATATATGTATGTGCATACATATACACAAAGTATACATTAATATAATCTAAAACGGGTAAGCACTGTCAAGTTGTAGGTCGACGAGTATCCGGCGTCAAATTGAAGATGATTGAATTAACCGCATATAAAAATAGCCTTTACTTAAGATTATTATAGCAAGCATATATTTAAGGCCTTAAATATACATAAGTATAGGTAAGTATGTGTGTCATGTTTGTATGTAACTATTGTACTTAAGTAAAAACTTTAGTAAATCTCAATTTGAAAATTATTTTTTTTAATGAGTGTTTTGCAAACCAAGGGTCAAGTAACTCGTAAAATGTCTGTAAGTACATAGTACGTATCCAAGTAGGATGGGTGAGTGCTGAGCATAGCTCCAGAGGTGCTCACCGCAATCAATTTTCAATGCCAGCTGAGCGCATACGATTTTTTAAGCTTTAACAAATGTGACACACTTATTACAATTAAAGTAGCGCTCACAATAATTCTTGCACGCTCTCCTACTCTCCACTCCAACCGCCCGCGCGGCACATTCATTCCGCCATGGTGGCCAATGTTTCTGCGTCTTCTGCGATATACATGTATGTATGTAAACATATCAAATCAATGATCGCGTGCATTTCATTCAAAAATCAACAAACGAATTTTCTATCCAAAACGCCTGAGTGAACCACCAACCATAAATAGTATATGCGATTTGCCTTGCCGACTGATTTTACCTCCGCCAGTTCAGCTACTCTTTTTCTCTCGCGTGTGTAATGTTTGTATGTATGTATGTATGTTAATAAGGTGCTCAGCAAGTTTGCTGCGCAAACGAAAATTGGAATAGTCGCGCGAACATACACGGTGCACCGAAAGAGCAAGAGAATGAATGCTACTCAATTGGATATCAGAATATCGTCGGCGTAAAGTGAGCGCACGAAGCGTTCGAGCAGCGACTATATAAACGCGGCGCATACTGATCGCGTGCTTTAGTTATAGCGTGGATATATTTCAATTTCAAATTCGAAAAGGTAAAAATGCCAAATGAATATCGCGAAACTTGGTTTAATAGCAGACGGTAGTAGTGTGTTGCTTTTGCGAACGTCAACTGCTGAAATTTACATAAATGAACATATTCTATTCAGTCTACTTTTTTCTTCTCGTTAAATATATCTGTATGAATACATATGTGTGTGGCAACGTAGTTACTTTAGTTGTTGGTTGGCAAAGTTAAATTTGGCGGCATTCGGTACGCTTGAGCTGAGACGCGAATTAAAGTGGTGTTCAAATGTCTGGCGAGTCAAGGAAACTATGATAAAGTGCAAAAAAATTGTTATAAAGTAATTTTTCTACTAAATGCAATCTCATTAAAAAAGCGTTTTGTTATGCCTCAATTCGTTTGCCCTTTTCAGTAGTTGTGTAAAAAGGAACGAACTATGTAATTAACTGACCGTACGAGTGCTGCTACTACGAAAGTGGATTTTTTACTTAAATGTTGCAAAGCTCAGAAATTATTTGGTGTTGTTTTTGTGTTTATTCACATAAATTTAGCATCAGCTATGTGGCGAATTTTTCACAGATCAAAAACAGCTTTTTGTACTCAGCAAGTTGCAGGAAGTATTATAAAGTATCGGTGTGAACACAAAGCAGCAATTAGTGACGCGAAATGCTGGTGAAGGTCGAATGAAAAAAAACAACACTAATGAAAAAACATATGCATAAACAGTAATTCGCACAAATGGTATGTAATGTTAGAAAAGAGGAAAACTTTTAGATGTTATGTAATTGAAATTAGAAAGGATTTAAATAGCCTGAAAAATGAAATTCACTTATGTTAATTATTAGAGAACATTTTAATAACGATTGCATGTGGATAAGATAATAAAGTTGTATTACTTAAAAAATTATTAAGATAATTATGAAAAAGTGTGCATTTAGCAGTGGTAATATCAGTGAGCAAATAATTACAATTTTATTCATCTAATTTGTGCAAGGTTTATGGTTTGAATTGTATAAAAAAAAAAAAACAGTGAAAAAATACAAGCAATAATTGGTGAAAGTAATATAATAATTTAGAAAAAAATTAA